GTTTTAAAGTCATGTGATGTGTTGAAATAAAAAAAACATGTCAGATAAATGAGACATGAGTTTAATAAAGTTGTAGTTTTACATGAGAAATCAGATGAATGTTTCATGAGTCGTGTCTGTGTCAGGATCTGATCAGTTTTTATAAAATCCACAGCTCAAATGCTGGAGTCTACAAAAGTTTGTCTGTGTGCTCTGATGTGGAAACTAAAGAAATATAACATTTCAGAAAAGTTTGTTAGAATTTTTTTAACAGCTCAAAGTTTAGTGTGTGTAATATCATCATACTAAGTTAAATATTGTTAAAAAAAATCATGTAACTTTTTTCTACAAATACAAATTTTGTATCAAAATGCCAATTCAGATCAAATCAGAGTTCTCATGTTTGAGTGTTCAGCTCTGAGCAGAAGTTTGTTTCTAAAGCTGAGTGTTGAAGCAGTGACAGAGAAATATGAAGAAACAGAATAATATGAAGAAGAAACTGCAGAAAAGTATTAATGATGCTTTAATGTTCACAAATTGGCACTTTAATACATAAAATACTGTTTTAGTTGTATACACTTTATGCTTATTTTTTTAAACTTCCAAAATGTKACAACTTAGCGTTAAACTGTGAGCCCAGTACTTACAGAGTGTGTAGCTGGGACCTACAGGGTACTTGGAGTAAGAACCAGGCTGTTATGAAGTAACTTTTTACCCTGTACTTAGAAGTACATACCAGGTTTTTATCCTGTACTTGCAGGTACCTGATACTTAACAGATGTCTAGCATTTTGTGTGTACTTACATGTACATACAAAATACTTAACTAATTACATGGTACATACCAGGTAAGAATGGGGTATGCACATAAAATGTACCTTACTGAGTATGTCCCAAGTACATACAAGGTACAGGGTACTTAAATAAATACTAGTTACTCAAAAATTACATACCTAGTAAGTACATGGTGTGTACCTCATACACACATGGTACATACCAGGCTACTTATAAGGTACCTATCATGTTATTACAGGATTTTTACCTGGGACATGGTACTTAGTACTTTGCTGTATTTCCAGATGAGTTTTTGAACTAAAGTGACATTTTTAAAAACATTTTGAACTATTTGTGAAAAAAACAAACAAAGCTGTGATTCAGAAAAAACACTTCAAATGAAGTAGTTAGAGCAGTACACAGGAAGTTTAAACACAAACACTTTACTTTGTTTTTATCAGAGTTGGACATACATCAACAAATGCAGGTGAAAAAGTATTTAAATTTCACAGTGTTAMTTATTAGCTTCCACCAACCATCATCAGCCTTGGAGAAGTCCCCACAGAAAGAAAGTTTCTTTCACATATTGCTTCATGCATCTTTAAAAGCAAAGAACTTTATAAGTTTGGCACCTTTCAAATATACATATAGACATAAGAGTAATATTAATAAAACAAGCAGAGCAGGACGGGCCTTTACTAGATTATTATTTCCTACTTAAGAAGCAACAATGGATTTTTATCAGTGTTAACATATTTTTATATATATTATTTATGCAAATGACACACACTCACACACACACTCACGCATATCCTCATGCACACACACAGGCAAACAGATGTTAGCAAGAAACATCGGTTACTCAGAAGAAAAGTGTTTTTTATTTATCTTGGCACTACTTCAGTGTAATAAGGAAGCACTTGAATCTAGAGGTTGTTATAAATGTCCAAAATGAGGCGCAGTTCTGTTCACTGAAGCTAAATGAAGGCCTTCTGTTGCTGAGCTTTGGGCTTGGATGGGCTGGTTGGTTAGTTTTGTTTCTTATTCTGCTGCGTGTTGGATAAACCATGTCAGAACCTTCCAGCAACTAGAACTGAGACGTTTCTGTGAAAGAAATGGCGTCTGTCTTATCCACGGTGAAGCCGCCGTTGACGTAAGATTTTTTCTCGCACTCCTCGTCGTCCAGCGTTGTTTCCAAAGCAAAAGGGTTGGCCACGTCCACGTCCGATATCAGGTCCATCCTCTCGAGTTCCCTTTTGGACAGTTTCTGAACAATCCCGGCTCCGTAAGCATCGCCCAGAACGTTGATCATCGTACGGAACCGGTCCCTGGAACACGGAGACCAGTTCATCTGCAGCTCAACAGGGAACTAACTTCATTAAATTTAAAATATWTTAAAACTTACAGCAGCCAATCCACAGCAACGATCAGAGTCACGTCACTCGCAGGTAAACCAACAGCTGTCAAGACTATCACCATGGTAACGAGGCCGGCGTTAGGGACTCCTGCTGCTCCAATACTGGCAACTGTTGCTGTTATACTGAAGAAAGAGATTAAAAAAAAATCTAATTTATCATATTTTTCAGGAGAATAAAACCCTGAAAGTTCAGTTTGAGGCGCAGAAGAAGATTTCTCTGGTTCAAGTAGAAAAACAACTCAGCATGAAGACATTCTGCTCACAACCAAAKCAAGTTCATTAATCAGTAAATAACCTGTAAATTAACTGAAGTGCGACGTAGAGTTTAACTGAAATACAGAAGCTGTCTGACCTGTGATTCCTGCAGGCATGCTGAWAAATTCTGCTTTATTTCAAAGTGTAAAATCTACTCAGTGCACATTGGGCCTCATGCAAGAACCGTTCGTATGCACAGATTTGTTCTTAAATTGCACGTACGAGTGATTTAGGAGAATTTGTGGCATTCACCAATGTTTTCATATTCTAAGATTTTTTTCAGATACGAACAAAATTTACGAGTGGTCCAGACCTGTCGTATATTTTACGAGCAGTCAGTCTGCTGTTATCCAGACGGATTTTCTTCACTAATAACTTTAGTTTACGGTGCGCAGCGCTGCGC